ACATATATATACCACATCTTCTTTATCCATTCATCTGTTGATGGACATCTAGACTCTTTCCAAAGTTTGGCTATTGTGGACATTGCTGCTATAAACATTGGGGTGCACGTGCCCCTTCGGATCCCTACATTTCATCAAGGCTCTTTAAAAGCCTGTGACTATCTCATGCATCGAGCAATATTTTTAAAGAAATCTCCATACAGAACACAGCACACATGGGCAGCAGCGAAGAGGATTTACATCAGACACTAAGGAGAACTCCCAGCAGTCATCATTAATAAGGTAATAGGCAGCTAAGAAATGTTATAGCAGTGACTTTCTTTCTGAGACAGAACGGCTTCCACAGGTTGTTCCTGACATGGTGGTGCCTGGAGGCTGGCAGATGGACCGAATGATAGATGTGTGATTTTAGGGAGGAAATTGGCTCTAGCCAACTCTCTTGTCCTTAAAAATGCCAAGTGTTTTCAATTTTCTCCCCCTTTTGAACCAAGAGAAAGTTGGAAGGCGATTTTCTCTTATCTGAAAAGTGGTCCAGCTTGCATTTCCCACCCAATTCTTTAAAAATACATACATGTATGTGTTTTGAAAGGAAAGCAGTGATGAATGTTTACTTACCTCCCCTGAGTGGTGCTGGAAGAATGTAACTGCATCTTTCTCCTGGGGCCAACAGGTAAATATCTTTTGTTGCCAGTTTGGCCATATTCTATGTAAGAAGGCCAAAAAGGAACTGACCCTTTGGACAGGTCTAGGCCCTGCAGTACACATTTATCAAAGCTAAATCTAGGCACATGTTTTCAAATTAATTAATCACATGCCAAAGTATAATAATTATACTTATTTCTCAAAATCTCTCCTAATTGACATGTTCGCCTGCTTACTTTCCTTTAGAAAGTCAAAGATCTTTGACATGGGATGGTATCTCACCCTTACTCTTAGTAACCGTCACACAAATCTATAGATGCCTGAGATGTATCTCTTGTCCAAAAATGTTTGGTCAGTGTCCAGTTAAAGAAAAAGCACAGACTATCTGCATTTCGACAGATAAAGGCTTGAATCCTGGCACTGCTGCTGATTAGCAACTTGACTTTGAGTAGGTCACTTATCTTTCTGAATGCCAAATGTAAAATGGGGATGAAAACCTTCTCTGAGGGGTGCCTGGGTGGCTCAGTCGTTAAGCATCTGCCTTTGGCTCAGGTCGTGATCCCAGGGTCCTGGGATCGAGCCCCGCATCGGACTCCCTGCTCTGCAGGAAGCCTGCTTCTCCCTCTCCCACTCCCCCTGCTTGTGTTCCCTCTCTCGCTGTGTCTCTCTCTG